CCTTTTGGGGGAAAGGAGGGGGTGCCTTTGAAAACCCCCATCTCTCTCTCTCTCTCTCTGCCTTCTCACCTCCAGCTTAGATTCCCCAGCCGTCCCTTTTTATTAAAGAGTTTCGGGGAACTCCAGTTTTATGAGCATTTGTGTGCAAATGAAGGCTCTCGTTATTTTGCTAAAGTGGAAGCAGGCTTAATGATGAGAGATCTTTCCGCTCATTGCCCATTCAAATACAATTGTAGATCGAAGGCGGCCTTGTCACGTTGAGAAAAAGTGAATTTCTAACATCCAGGACGTGCCTGTCTACTTTCAGCGAATTGCACCCAATCACCCCCAGGGAATTCAGCTAATGTCTCAGTCTCCACCCGGACACAGGAGGGAAAGAAATCAGACATGCTGCCACAGACTGACAACATGAAAATGTTCAGAAGGAAGGGAAAAGCAGAGTTTTCTAAAATTGATTGTAATAGAGATTTTCTCGGTGAGAATGCAAACTGGAAGGATTTGGAGATTTTCCCAAAAGTCCAAGAAAACTTTATGGTGGGGTAGAATAGACAGAAGGGAGAACAAACTAAGTATTTCCTTGAATGAGAGCAGGAAAATAATCGAAGAGCAGCGAAACCACAGTATTGCATACAATGATGCCACTACACAGTCTTGTAGACGTGGATGAAGGGAGTAAATATTATCTTTGCTAAATATTTCCCTTCTTGATGCTCAGATTCACAAAACATTCCTCCAGTTTTTATTTAAAATAAAGGTCTTGTTTAAAAAGATTGCCGTTTAAAGAGGAGAAAATGGAGGAGAGGGTGAAAAGAGCAAAACACACATACCCTGCCCAGTAAATGTAATTCCTAAGAATATATGGCTTTCTGGCTGTGCAGCTATTTGAAACGACACACAATATACACTGAATTTTTTCTCACTTAGTCGGGGGCTTTTCCCTCTCCCTTTATTAATTTTTATAAGGACAATTTTTATTAAACCTCTTTATGAATTAACACCCACCCAAGAATAATTTTTAAAATATAAGTTAACAGATGCGCTATTGTCTAGCCTTAGTAAATGAAATTAAAATACTGAAGTGGAAAAATCCATTTCTACTTTTCAATTGTTGCTAGACTCAATGTCCATTCTCAGTGAAAAGACAAATACTAAATCAATTCCCACCCAGCCCGGAGCACAGATCCGGCGGGAGGGGCGCCGCTAATCTGGAAGCCGCTTTATTTGCATGAAGTAGTCGAGGGCGACCTACCTTGGACAAGAACCACGGATCTCAGCTACAGTTCAGCCGAGGCCGGATCTCTCTACCTCCCCCGCCAAGCCCGGCTCTCCGATCTTCCCTCTCCACCTCCTTTCCCTTCCTCCACCCCGACCCCCCACTCAGACCCCTCGCCCTCCCCCCCTCGCCTCTGCGGGCTGGAGAGGAAGCTCTGGGCTTCCGGGCAGTCCCAGGCCGGCGCTGACCGGCGCGGCGGAGAGTCTGACTTGGGGCCGCCCTGGGAGTCGGAGAATCCCAGCCTGGCTCGCCCGAGTTGGGGACAGCGGGCAGAAAAGGGGTTCTTTCCCGCTTCCGGCCCTTGGCACCCCGACCCCCCCGCGTCCCCGCCGCCCGGGAGCCCCTTTCTGCGCGCTGCCGGCCGGCGAGGCCTAGACTGGCCTCCTCCGCCCGGGGGGCCGGGCCGGGCCTCGCAGGCTGGGCAGCACGAGGGGCCGGCGGCGAGCCGCCACACGGCCGGGGGCGGGCGGGAAGGGGAGCCCCCGCTCGGCTTCTGGGAGGTTCTTCAGGGTCCTCCCGGGTCACAGGCGACCTTCGCCAGCACTCAGCCCGCACCCTCCCCGTGCGACCCCCGCGGCTTCCCCCGCGCGGCCCCCGCGCTCGGGGCAGGTGGAGAGCGGCTCGTGCGTTGGCCCGGAGCTCGGAAGGGCCGGGTCCGGCCTCGCCCCGCCGCCCGGCGCTCCCGCGCGGCCCGCGCGCGCCCTTTATTGACAAGCAGATAAGCAGGCGGGGACCGCGGCGTTTCCAGCCTCGCTCTCGAGCACCCTGCTGGGTTGCAGGGATCCGCGCGCACTTAATGGCCTGGACTCCGAACAGGCCCGGAGCAGCACTCCCGGCGGCCTCCGGTCCGGACAGAGGGGGCGGGTGGGGGGCGACCCCAGGGCGAGAGAGGCCTGCTCGGTCGGGCCTCCGCGCAGTCCAGACTCCGGGCAGGCGGCCGATGGGGGAGACCTCAGGACACCTGGAGCGCGGGCTGGGCCAGGTTCTGAAGGGAAGCCAGGGCCGCACCAAGAAGCGGGGTCAGGGGACATGGCCGATGGTGGCGAACCCGGGCAAACGCTCCCTGAGCCCACTCCTCAGCAGAGCCAGGCTTGAGGAAACGACCAGGCAGGGGCCTGGCCCGGATTCGAGTGGCCAGTGGGGGTGGCTGCTCCTCGCCCCTGGCACGGGAAGACTTGGGGTTTGGGATGGGGAGAAGTGTGGGGAACGTTTGTAAGAACTCGACGCTTAAACCTCCCCGCCTCTACAGCCCTCAGGCCTCGACCGGCTGAGCAAAAAAAGCCCAAGTCCGGCAGGGAGGTGGCCCGGCCTGGAGGAGCCGGCAGGCAGGCTGCCTGGAGCCGCCGCCCGGCCGGTTGCGAAGCCCCACACCTGTCCAGGTGTGCGGGCGGGGGCGGGAACGCTCGACCTCTCGCGCCTCGGCGCCATCTGTGCCGCGCGCTCCCCTCGCCGCCCTACCCGAGCTAGGGGGCAGGAACCGGTCGTGGGGCCCTCCCCGGCCCGGCTGTCCCCTCTAGCGAGGACACACACGCCCAGCCTCCAGGGTCAGGCCCCTCTCCAGCCGCTGAAGGCAGTTCCACGCCCCATCTCTCCCCCTCCCGCCACCTCATCAGGCAACCCCTGCCCCTCCGGCCGGACCTCTGTCACTTCCAAGTTCGAGACCGGATGGAGGCAGAGAAGGAAGGGATTGGACACTGAGAAGCCCTCTCCCCTGTTACGTTAGGGCGGGGGAGACATGAGAATGACAGCGCGGGGAGGGCCCGTTCCAAGATAGCCAGGCCCAGCTGGACTAAGCCGTGTCCTCGTCCACGTCGCCGTCCAGCGTGTGTGGGGTGGGGACAATCCCAGACCACTCGTCAGTGTCCTGCCGACCCCGCCCCAATTTCGCTTGTTTCCTTGGCTCAAGGGAGGGGAATCCTGACTTCAGAATCTGGGACTTCTCTGTTTTGCTCCTCTAGGCCGCAGAGCCGACAGCTAACCCGGGGGTCCGATTCATAAAATCACCGACACCTTCTACGTGACGGCGCCTTTCAGGCCAGGGGGAGAGCGGAGCCGGCAGGCGCGCGCGGACCCCTCCCGAGAGCCCCCGGTCCCCTGTGCCCGCGGCGACGTGCAGGCGCGAGACCAGGCTGCGGTTCCCATCGCGGGTCCCGAAACGCCACCCGCCGGAGGCCCCTCTCGACTCGCGCGGGCTCGGGGCCCCTCGGAGGAAGCGACCCTCCGGGCTCGGAGGAGGGGCCGGGTGGGCGCCCGGAAGGGCAGCTGGCCAGCGTAGGCGCCGACCCCGGCCCGGGCGGAGGGGGGCGCGCTCGGGGACCGTTGTCCTTGGGACCGAGTCTGCGCCCTGCTGGGCGAGGGGCAGAGCGGGCCGGCCGCGCGTGGGCAGCCCCGGGCGGGCCCACGAAGGCCGGAGCCGGCCGGACTCGGGTGGGAGGGGAGGCCCCCGCCGGGCCGGGCGCTTGCGGGCGCCGCGCGGAGCCCAAGTCCGGCCGCCGTGACGTCACGCGGGCCGGGCAGCCAATGAGGACGGCGCTGGCGTGGGTATTAAGGAAAGTTAGCGCCCGCCGGAGCACCCTCTTTTCTTATCATTGACATTTAAACTCTGGGGCAGGTCCTCGCCAGAAAGCGGCTGTCAGATCTGCCACTTCCCCTGCCGAGCGGCGGCGAGAAGTGTGGGAACCGGCGCCGCCAGCTCACCTGCCTCCCCGCGGTGCTCCAGGTAACGCCGGCTCCGGCCCGCCCGCTACGGGGGCCCCAGCCCACGCCCGCCCCAAGGAGCCCGGGGCTCGGTTTTCGCTTTTAAAAGGAGGCAAACAAAGATGGAGGGCAGTTCCTGACGGCGGGAAGGATAGGGGAGGGGGGCGTCTTGTCTTTGCCGAGCGCGCTTTTCTGCAGAAGTAGCAAAATGTTTCAGTTCCCAGAGCGGACTTCCAGTTGGGTGCTGGGCTGGGGGGAGGGGGCGAGGCTGCTGTCCGCAGAAGCCGCTGGCGACCGTGAGAAATGCAGGAGGGGGGGATGCAGTTTGCACCCAGAACTCCCCCGAATCGCAGTTTAGACATTCACGCGTGGAGAAGTCCCCAGCCGCGCCCGCAGCGCACGGAACGCCCCGCCGCGGGTTGGGGGAAGTGCAGCCAAAGTTTCCCGCGGGTGCAAAGTGTAGGTGGTCGGACCGAAAGGAAACCTTAGAGATGGGAGTTGGTTTCTCAGAAAGGAGCGGAGGACGAAAGAATGCTGCTCGCAGAGCTGGGCGGCGCGCGGAGCCCCGGCGTGCGATCTGAGCCTCGCTCGGGAGGACCTAACAATTAGCGATGCTCGCTGAGCCAGAACGCGGGCTCGGGTTTCCGCGGGCGGGCGCTGCGCTCCCCGCCTCGGCGCGGGCTCGTGGGCCAGGGAAGCCGGCCGCCCAGGGCAGGGAGCAGCGCCTGGACACTCCTCCGGTCCGGGGAGGGACGAACCCAAACTTAGACCAACTCGTGGTGCCGCAGGGTGACAGTCCGGGGAGTCCAAACCCGAGCAGCAGAGACGCCTGGGCGGGCTAGGGGCAGGGCGCCAGGGAGACCTCCAGGTCAGGCCCCTCGTGCTCCGGGCGCCCCGCTCTAGACCTTCCGGGGGCACCTCGAGGTGCCTCAGGCACCTGTGCCAGGGGCTTGGGACCACCGCCGACTTCGCGCGGCGGCCGCCCCCTGCCCAGGGGAAGGAGAGAAGCGGCCACGGCCGCGCGTCTTACCTGGGCCTGGGTCCTCCCTCCTCGGGCTCCTTTCTCCGGAGCTGGGCGGCCAGCAGGTTGCCCGCTTCGCAGTGGGACGTGGACCTTCTCCTCCAGTCATAAATCAAACCCAGCCATCCTCGGGCCTCCTCCCTCATTAGAGATGTTTATTGGAGATTGTGTTTATTCGGCTGTCACGGCGAGAAGACGCGGTGACATAATTACCTCTGACCAGAGTCCTCGCCCCGCGCCCAGGGCGAGCCGGGACATCCTCTGTCGCCCCCTCGCTCCGCGCCCTCCGACAGCGCAGGGCGTGGGTGGCAGGCTTGTCCTTTTTCCTCAGACCCTCTCACGTAATTTGGATTATTGAGTGAGTTGCTATTCAAACCTCCCGGGGCCTGGGAGCTTATTTGTTTATTTGTATACTTATTTTGGAACTTGAGAGGAAAGCCGAGGGGAGCCCAGCTCCACTCCAGGGCGGCGGGGACAGCGCAGCAGGCGGAAGGAAGCCCCTCGCTGGCCGGCCCTGGGGAGCTGGCCCGGAGGGAGGCCTGGCGGTGTTGTTTTATTTTTCATTCTGAGGTCCCAGGCCCCGGGCGGAGGATTCCTCGACGCTCCGGCGGACTTGGCCACCTCCTCCCCGCCTCTGGCCGTGGGCGGCCGCGTCGGTGCCCCCAGCTAACCAGGTTTTTAAGTCACCATCTGTGAGACCGAGTCAAGAAGTGACGAAAAGCGCCGAATTGTTCTCTAATTGAAAATACTTTTTTTTTTTTTGGTGACCGCGCTAACCAATATCTGGGATCCCGGCTTTTGATCCCTCGCTGCCGCCTCTGTTCTCCAATCGCTAATAAAACTCGCATTGAGCCCCTTAGTGCCTTGATTAACAGGCAGATTAACTCTTACTGGGGTGGGGAACAGCTTGTCTCAATCAATGTCATTTTAAAAGCCCGTCAGGATACGCTTAGCCCGGTTCCCCGGCTGCCCAAGCGAGCCAGGCATGACATTTGCGCCCTCCCCCTTCCCCAGCCTCAAATCCCCTCAAGGCCCCCAGTTCCCAGCGCGGGTGCCCTGCTTCGCTGCAGGACAAATTGCAAGACTGGGTCCCTGGCCTTTCAAACAGGCAACTGTTTAGAGCGGGGATCTCCAGGGAGAAGGGACTGAGGTGGCCTTGGTTTGCCTTTCGTTTGAAGCTGAACTCCTGTCTCTCGAGGACGGAGGTTACAGGGCAAAGAGAGATGGGGAACAGGGCCGGGTGACGAAATGGAAAACAAACTTTCCTGGGAACACTAATTGCAAAAATCGGAGAGTGCCACTGAGTGCAAGAGTGCTACACAGGAGTTTTGAACCCGGTGCCTCTCCGGACACCGGCATGGAGGGCCAGGATCAAAGGCTTGGGGAGGACCCGCGGGGCGCAGGGATCTCTTCGCTGGGAGACCTCGTTGGACTATGTTTTTTTTCCAAAGTATTTTTCGGGGGAAAGGAGGACAGAAACAGAGACGCTTGCCGCCTAATGTGACTGGAAGAAGACGGAACCCAGAGAGCGCCCTGACACTTGCCAGCGAGCGTGGCCACAGCCCGGCGGCACCTCCCGGCCAGTCCCGGCTCCTCGGCCTCCCGGCGGTCCAGGCTCTGCCAGGCTGCCGGGTGAGCTGGAAAGGAGAGGGGGAAAGGCCCTGAGCGAGCGCAGAGTGCAGGAGGACCCTGAACTGGGCGGCGGGGCGGGCGCCTTTGCCTTTCCTGCTCGTGTGATGCGTTTCGCCAGCTCCCCTCCCAGCGAACCCACCTTCCCAGGGCCAGAAAAGAGAGAGCCATTTCAGGCTCTGCGAAGTGACGCAGGTGTCTGCGGAGACTTTCCTTCTTCAGAGGAAAGCTCGTCTCCACCCTTCCCAGCGCGCCGGCACCGCGCCTCTGCTCGGCGGTGGAAAGCGGCAGCTCAGAGGCGTCGCACACCGGGCGGGAGACTCTTAGTTCCGAAGCCGGGAGCCGAAGGCACATCCCCCGAGAGCTGGGCGCGTCGTTGCCTCGCCAGAGGCTGCCTCCAGGCCAGAAACCCGGGGAGGGGCCCAGGCGAATGCCAGGGACCGCTGGCGGTGGGCTGCTGCCCATCTCACACTTACGCACCAATACCGGCCAGAAGCTGCGGGCACTCGGGCCAGCGGCGGTCCCCCAGCGTGACTCGCTCGGCACAGGCCTCCTCCCCTATCGGGTGGGAGGCCCCCGGCGGCGCCTGCGGGAACAGGCCGGAGAGATGGGGGCGGGGGAAGGCCTGGGGAGAGGCGGGCAAAGGCGAGACAGAAACGGAAGGCGCGATCCCCCCGCCTCGGAGGGCAGCAAGTGGGCCTCGATCGTGTTGGAAGCGCAATTAAAATGGCGACCTGCGAGTTGTCTGAGTTTTGTGCACACCTCCAGCCCTGGCGCCCTGCCCCCTCGGCCCAGCCCCCAGGCGGCCGAGTCGCCCCCAGAACAGACACTTGGCAGAGGGCGCGAGGTGCCCCACGAGGCAGAACGGCACCCCACGCTCCTCGAGAGCCGCCCAGAGAACAGAAAATCTCGCTCCCCACCCATCTCCTTAAACTTTGAAAACTCTGCCTCCCTCCCGGCTGGGCACCCCCCAAATATTGACACATTGGAAGCAGCCAAGTCCTTTTTGTTTCTTGTTGGTGCAGAGGGGTTTCCAAGAGTCCTTCCCCGAGCGCCCCCCGCCCGTGACGTCAACGGCATTCACTCCCAGCCCCTTGCCTCTTATGATTTTTTGTTGTTAAAACTTTTCTGCACAGTGAGGTGGGGGCTGGGGGTGGGAGAAGGAGGCGATTCAAAGAGCCAGTGCCCTGGGGGGAAATAGCAACAAGATTAGGGCTGCTTCTTTCCGAGGCAAAGCTTAAGAAGGTGCTAATCCACTCGGTCGCTAATTGAGAGGTTGTAAAAATGATATTCGCCTCCAGTTCGGACGGGGCCTCTGGGCCTTCCCCCCTCCACCCCCCCTTGCTTGAGTTCGGGCTTCTCTAATGCTTGTTTGAGAACTGAAAAGGGAGAGAAAAAGAACGCAGACTGTCGCTGGTCTGGACCCGGGCCTGCTGCCGCCCTTCCCGGGTTGCTGTGAAAGTTCCGGTCCTGCGAAGTCTCGCCAGGGGGCCGCTGACCCGCGTAAGGCGCCGCCTCCGCCTCTGGTCTGGGCGTCCTGGGCCGCGGGAAGGGCCGTGTGGGTAATCAGGTTGTGCTACCCCAACCCTGACCCTCTCGGAGAGCTCCGCCCCCGCCCCTTGGTGCGGCGTTGGTGGGTCGGGGCCTGGGTCGGGAGGGGAGGCCCACATCAGGCCCGGCAGCCTCCTCGTGGGCCCAGCTCCCGAGCGCGGCTGTGCGCTTGTCAGCGGCGCATTCAGGGCGCTGAAACTTCACTGGTGAGCTCCAACTTCCAACACTTTTCCTAAGTCACAGGAGTCAAGAGTGCCTGGCGGTGGCCTCCTTTCAGCCTGGCTGCCTCAGCTCTTCCAGCCGCATTTCCCTTCGCCGAGTCCTGGAGCGTGTCCCCGGCCCAACCTTCCCCTTTCCTTGGGCCAAGGCCTGGCCTGCAAGCTCGGGGCTTCGCAGGACTGGGCAGCCCTCCCTCCCCCGTCACCTTAACTGCGGGCGCCGAGGGGCGCCTTTGGAGTGTACTGAGGTGTGTCCTAATCGTCGGGCATTCAACAAATGGACGCTGGTGTGTGGTCAGAAGAGAAAAGCCATTTACTTACTTTCCTCCCCGGTTTTCTGGCAACAGCTGAAGGGGAGCTGCCTCTGTGGACTGTGCAGACCCAGGAGAGGGACTCGTGGTGCGGAGACGCGCACCACACACAGATGACCTGTGGTACACACCGACATCGCGGCGAGGACACGCACGCACACACACACAATCGCTCCCAGCACTGGTCATCCATCTCCCCCACCCGGGCCTCCACCCCGCCCCCTTCTCCCCCTCGCGTCCCCTCCTCTCGCGCCCGGAGAAGCGGCCGCACTTAGTCAACAATGGCACGTGGGAGAAGTTGGTGAGTGTTTGGGGAGGACTCTCCAGGGCTTTTCACAAGAACCCTCTGTACACAAAGTAAGTGGCGTGTTTGCTCGGGCCTCTCCAGCCCCGGCTGTGCCTCAGCTCCGCTGCGCACCGCGGCTTCCGAAAGGAGAAAGAACAGAAGAAAGGCCGGGGGCGGGGGTGCGCGGGCCGGAGGCCCGGCGGGGAGGCCGTTCCCAGAGCGGCGGCTCCTCTCGGCCCGGGCTGCGCCGCGGCCTCCGCGAGGGGAGCTGCCCGGACCCTGCGCCGCGCGCGCGCCCCTTCCTCTTCTTCGCAACGGCCCCGCGGCCAGGTGGGCCGGGGCGCGGCCACACGGTGCTCGGCGTCCGGGCCGGGGGACGGGGCAGGGGCGGGAGAGGGGTCGGCGGCGGGGCGGGGCAGCGGGCACGCGGGCCCGAGTTGGCGAGAAAGGCGGAGCGGAGCTGCAGGAACTCGCCCCCGCGGTGAGCCGGGGGTCCGGCGCCCAGCTCAGGGGGGGGGGCGCGACCCCAGCACAGCGGCCTTCTCTCGACCCTCGCGTTCGCGGCCCCACTGCGGGCCGTGCGGCCTCCCCGAGCGCTCGGAGCCCGGAGACGCTGGCGAGCGCCGCCCCAGAGCCGGGCGCGGGGGCCCAGCGCCGGGAGCCGAGCCGGGACCCACCGGCGGGGGAAACAAGTGTATTCATATTCAAACAAACGGACCAATTGCGCCGGGCGGGGAGGCGGCGCGTCCAATCGGCGGGCGCGAGGCCTCGGCGCTGCTTTGCATAAAGCAATATTTTGTGTGGGAGCGAGCGGGGCATTTGCATGTTGCGGAGTGATTAGTGGGTTTGAAAAGCGGACCGCGGCTCGGCCTCATTTCCCGCTCTGGTTCAGGCGCAGGAGGAAGTGTTTTGCTGGAGGATGATGACAGAGGTCAGGCTCCGCTAATGGGCCAGTGAGGAGCGGTGGAGGCGAGGCCGGGCCGGCACACACATTAGCACACTTGAGCCATCACCAATCAGCATAGGTGTGCTGGCTGCAGCCACTTCCCTCACCCACACTCTTTCTCGCTCACTCTCGGGCGCTGACAGCCCATTTTATTGTCAATCTCTGTCTCCTCCCAGGGATCTGAGCATCGCTCGCACACACTAAACCAGCAGCGTCCGCGGAGAAAACTCTCGCCAGCAACTCCTCCAAAGCACCGTCCTTTCCAACACTGGTGGGCTTCCAGCAGCAACAGCCACCAGAAGAGCCCCAACCGAACCAAACTCTTGACAGGAGCTCTGCCGAGGGAGGATGCCTCGTAAAGGTGAGTCCACCCCTTTCTTCTCGCTCCATTCCCAGGGCACTCTCCAGGCAGTTCTCCCCTCCCCCTCCTCCTCGCTCTCGCCGGCCCCCTCCCCCTCCTACGCCGGAGAAGTTTCCACGCGGGAGCCCAAACTTTCTGCCTCCAGCGGGAGCCCGTGTCCGGGGGCGGCGGGCGCGGGACGCGGGGCGCGGGGAGGGCGGCTGCACCGACCCGGCGCCACGCGGCTGAGCTCCAGGAGGAGCGGGCTCCGCGCAGCGGCCGCCCCGGCCCCGCCGCCAGATGCCCCGGCCGCGGGCGAGGACGCAGAGGCTGCGCGGTGCACAGGCCTGGACGGCCGCAGAACCCGGCGGCGGCTTTGTCCAGCCGGGGACCAGCGGGCGCCGTGAGCGGGCGCCGAGGGAGCACGAGGAGCCGGCCCCCGCGCGCCCGCGCCCGGCTTTGTGCGGCGCTCGGCTCGGCGCCGGCGAGACCCGGCACTGGGGCGCCCAGGGCGCGCCCGCCGCCAGCCCGAGCAGAGCCGGCGCGGGGCGGCCGCCGCCGAGGCCGGGAGCAGGAGCGCGCGAGCAGGGAGGCAGCCGCGGGCCGCTGGCTGCGCCCCCAGGAGCCGGGCCGAGCGGAGGACTGTCAGCTTCCCCGGGCCCCCGGCTCTCCGCCCTACTCGAGCGCGGAGCTCGCGACCTGGGAACACTCTGCTCCCCGGCTCCCCGATACTCGCCCTCGCCCTGCGAAAGCGGGGTCTCCCTGGGCCCTCCAGTCTCAGCGCTCGGTGGGTATTTTCCCTTGCCTTCTCTGATGAAGCTGCACCCGGTGTTGCCGTTTCTACACGTTTTGAGGTGGAACGGTGGATTTCATTTTTTAAAAAAATCCAAATCCCTTGATTTTTTTGTGAGGCCTTAAAAGAAAATCAATATGAAAGCATGGGCTCTCTCCTTCGTCCGGGCACATCCTCTCCCAGCTAATTAGTCGGAGTAATTGGAGAGCTTTTCGTTCGAAGACCCCGGGAGGAAAAGTGTCTTTTCAAAGTTCATGAAGTTGTTGCCTCTTCCCTTGCGCAGGTTTCTCAGGCTCCCGGCACCATAATAGCCCTGAATTTTAGCAAGTGTAATTGGGGGGGAATGGAGTTGAATTTCAAGTGGAAATGCTTTCTTTTTCGAGTGCAAAAACCCGGTCCTCCAGACACGAGTGATTTCTAGAAACTTTAAAAACAAAGTGAACGTGGGTTCTTTTTCTCTCTTACTCTGCAGAGCCCCCTAAGTGATTCGGACGTTTAACTCGAACTTGGGTGGGTTTGAGGAGGGGCGGGAGCGGAAAATGTAACGCACAGCGAGGAGCTCGAAGGCCTAGCGAGCTTGCGGAGCAGCGGTAGTCGCGGCGCGGACAGTGCGTTTTGATGGCCGGTGACCTTTGCGGGCGTCTGAGGCAGTGCGATTACTTGTTATCTTATTCAGCCCGGGAGAATAAAATTGTGTCATCTTAATCGCTAATTACTCTTTGGCTGGGGGCCGGGAGGGCCGAAAATGAGCTCTCCCCCTCACCTCAGCTAAGGAGTCGGGGGATGGATTCTGAGAGCTAAGTAATTAAAACCACGGCGTTTGGAAGCTGAGGTTGTGCCGGGGTGCGGGATTCGGTGGCCCAGTGGCCTAGTGCACCAAGGCCCGGCGCCTCCGCGGTTTCTGGAGACGCCTCGGTCCCGGCGCAGTCCTCCACCCAGCTCGGGCCGTAGGAAGCCCGGGCCGAGCTGGGGGGCTCTGGCTTCGGCTGGGGGTCCGGCCTCTCGGCGCAGGCCTGCTTCCGGTGTCGGCGTGCACGCTTCCCGGGCTGCTTCTGCACTGAGCGTTAAGGATTACTTAAGTAATTAGGTAGCTGCTTAGCCGCGAGGGGGGTGGGAGTGGAGCAGGACCGGAACTTGAAATGCTTCCACCTTCCCAGCTGCTTCGAAAATTATTCGGCTAGGCCCCTCCAGAATCAGTGAGTGAGTTTTTTAAAACGGCTCGAGAGCGGGTGGCCCGGCGGGGGCCTTCAGTGGTGGCTGAGAACAGTGTGGTTGGCCGAGAGCAGAGCGGCAAGTCTCTCCCCTTCCAGGGAGCTCCTCTCCATGCCCGGCTGCCGCCGCTCCCAAGTTTCAGAGTCCCACTTGGGGCACATTCTGCGCGGAGCTGGGGTTTCTGCCTGTCCCGGGCATAGCTGTGGCCGCGGGGACTCGGACACAGGAGGGAGGCCTTGGGAGCCAACCCATGAGGGTTGGCTTGCGCCGCCTCCTCTCCAGCATGTACCAGGCCGCAGTCAGAAGCTGGGAAAAAGTCCTCCTCTTAAGTTCATTTTTATGGATTTAGCCGGCCTCCCAGCTAGTTAATAAATTAGACCACGAATGACCTTGAAGAGAAAAAAATGTGTTTCTTGGAATTCTTTGCTTGCAGGCAGGCAAAATTAATAATATTGCAATACGTAAAACAGGAAAAAGAATGAATATTTTAGGTTTTTAAATAACAAGGAGAAATGATGCTGTGACTATTTAATTATTTTACCTCTTTTTGTTTTTTCTTTTTGCAAACCTCCTGAATGGGTCTTTATTGTAACTCTCTCTCCCCAATTGAGCTCCCTGCGGTGCCGTTGTATCTTTTTACAGCCCCTAACAACTCACACCAGTAACACAATTACCTCCAGATATTTATAACAAGAAATTACTTTTCTATCCCCCCAGAACCACCTTCTTAGGGCACGGCAGGGAGGGGGTGGTGGAGGGCGAAGCTTGAGGGACCCGCACTGGGTTAGGACTTACAAAGCTAGACGTGTCCCTCCGTTCCCTTTGTGAGTTGGTGGGTTGTTGGTACGTGTGCTGGGAAGCTGTGTTGCTGGTTGGGGAGACTCGGTTTTGCTCTTTGGGTTTGGGAGAGCTAGAGAACAGAAGCCATTGTTCGCTGTCTGTAGGCTTTGTCGACCACGCTCACCCCCTCCTGTTCATACTTTTTAAAGCAGTGAGGCGAGGTAGACAGCGTGTGTCACAGTACAGTAAAAGGGGGAGATCTAAACACCACAAGAGAAGTTAATCACAATAAGTGAGGTTTGAGGGGAAAAAGTTGGGCTTGCCACTTTCAAAGTCCCAGAAAGGCTGGGAGCTGGGGTGGAGTGGGGGCCTGACTGGAAAGCTTTGAGGGGCGAGAGTGGAGGATAAAGAGGTAAGCAGAGAGTTGGGTTCTGGGGGCCAGGGGGCAACTGGATGGTGTAATTCCTTGAGGAAGGAATATGGCTCTGCAGCCCTCTCAGCCGGCCCTGCCTGCACCTTCAGGTCCCGTGAAGTTCTGGACCCCTTCCCCTCACCTCTGAACTTCAGGTAGTAGTCCTCGGCCTCCACTCCTCACCCCACTGTTTCTCCCATCCTCCCCTTTTCCTGGTTTCTGATATTTTTGCAAAATGGGGCCCCAACTTGTCAGATTCTCCAATTCTCCCCAAGCCAGGCCAGAGCAGCCACTTCCAAGAGGTGGGGACTTCTGCAGGAGAGGCTGTGGGAAATAAGGGTGTAACTCTGGGATTGGGGGTTTCGGGGCAGTTTGAGCCCTAGTTGCATATTTTTTTTTTTCCTCCTGAGAGTGTGGCTCATAGAGCCGGTGGGCTTGTGCTTTTGAGCCACAGTTTGACTGACCTTTCCTTCTGTTTTGTCTTAGGCGGAAGACTTCACTAGGGCGCGCAGATGTGTGAGACCTTTTCTTCTAAGAGTGGACAGACATCCCAGATTTCAGGCAAGTTCTGTGGTGGCTGCTTTGGGCTCCAAAACTTGCAAGATTCAGAAGGCTGCCTCATTGTTGTTCACATGGAAGAAAAAATTCAAAATCGAGACATCATGTCTCCTGATTAAAGGGTTAACTACTAAGAGATTTGGGGGAACGAGGTTGGGTGTATTGGAGGCTTTTATTTGTAGCCCACAGGGTAGCCTTTGCATGCTCTGGAGAGCTGGATGACCCTCAGATCGCCCCAAGCGACTGAGTGGATCATTATTTCCTAAAGAAGGGGCCTTCTCCTGTCCTGGCTCCAGGCCATCCTCTGTCGGGAGAGAGGCCTACCTGGCGAGGGCCGGGACTGACGCCTCTATTCTCGCTAACAGAGCCCCAGTTTCGAGCCCCGTGGGATCCCGCGGCCCCCAGCCAGCGCCAGCATGCAGAACAGTAAGTGCCTCTGGTCTTTCTCGGACTGTGGGCTGGGGCGCGCTGAGGTCAGGTCAGGGAGGGCGCAGAGATTTGCGGCGTCCGCGCTGGCCAGGCCGCCCGCGAGGGAAGGGGCCCGGGGACCTGAGGCGGCTGCGCCCCCTCCGCGCCTTGGAACCCGAGAGGGGAGGGCGTTTGCTCGGCTGTTCAGGCTCTTGGAAGAACAGGGGCTGGGCCCTTCAGAGCAGCCGGCTTGAGTTTGCGGAGCTGAGGTAGAGAAACCCCATCCCCCCAAATCCTGTAACTCACACCCCCTCCCCGCCCCTGCCCGGGCTCTGACCCCAGAGAGAGAGGGGCTGGGCTGAGCAGGGCGGGGCGAGGCTTCTCCTGGCTGCTCGAGGAGAAGGAGGCCCCTTTGGGCTCAGCCAGGACTGAACGACTCCACCGTCGCGGGGGGCTGGGGGGGCTCCCCTCCCCCAGTTACTCTCAGGGCAGCTCCTCCCCTCCCCACCCCAGCCAGGGGCCCAGAAGGCGAGGGGAGCGGGCGCCCAGGCCCGCCGTGGGGTGGAGGTGGTAAACTCGCTCCGTGGGGCTGGTACAGTGCTCTCAGCGCTGGGAAGAGAGTGGGGGTCAAGCGGAGGAATTGAGGAAGCCCTGCCCTGGTGGCTGCAACTATGTGGGTCCGCTCGTTCTGGCCCGCAGTGCTTTGATTCCTGGGCTCTCGGGGCTCCCGTCCTCCCTCTGCCCAGGCCCCTTGGGCCCCCGCTCGCCTTCCTGCTCAGTCCGTGGGGGCTGGTATGTGGCAGGGCGAGCCTGGAGGCCCGAGAGACTAGGCTCAGGTTGAGGTGCGGAGCCTGGACGCGGTTTAAGGGCTGAGCTGTAGCCGGAGTGCCGCCAGAAGGCCTGAGTCTTCTAGCAACCTCCCTTTGCCGAAATGCAGACAAGGAGGGGCCCTGGCCCCGGATCCATCTGTCCTGGAAGCGCTAGCAGCCCCCTGGTGCTTCCGCGGCTGGTGGGCGCGATGCGCAGGAGAGGGGGCAAAGGCGGCGCGCTTTAAGGCGGGTTAGTTGTGCAGAACCTGCCAGGCCCCTGGGCTTGGTCCGGGCGGCACCCTCCTTCGCGAGGCGAAGGCCCTGCCCACCCCTCCTGGCTGCCGGCTTCTCCCCTGCGGCTCGGGCTCCCCAGCCGCAGGCTCTCGCGGGCCGGCCGGGCGCAGCGCGGAGCGTTTGCCGCTGCGGCCTGGCCGGCGGGCCCCGAAGGGCGCGGGGTCGCGAGCCGGCCTGCGGGGCTTTGTGCCGCTCGCTCCCGGGTGTGCGCGAGGCGCAGAGCATCCAAATTGACACCATATGTTTTCCTATTAGATGCTTCGCGGTCGAATTCTAGGCGCATAATCATCGCCACTGGGCAAGAGCGCCAGCCGTCCCTGGGGAAGGGACACAATGATTGAGGCTTAACCTCTGAAGGGGCGCTTAGAGCCGCGCGTCCTCGCTGCCATTTCGATGCTGGCGACGCGGCCTGGCCCGCGTCTCGGGAGCCCCGCCGCGGTGGTGCGCAGGGGCGCGCCGTCTCTGCAGGAGGAGGCGGCAAGGCCAGGGCTAGGCGGCCGCGCAGGCCTGGGTGTTCTCGGCCTGGAATTGCCCAGGCCGGGCGTGAAGTTTGGGACCCTGTGTCGGCCGCGCCGGTACGGCCTTCTCCTTCCGGGAAGGCTCCCTCTGCCAGAGGCGGCTCCGGGGCTGGAGCGCTGACGGGTCCTGCGAGGCCACGGCGGGCAGCGAGGGGACGGGAGGCGCCGCAGGAAGCGCGGAGCAGGCCTCGCTCTGCTGGAGGAGCGCTGTCTCCGCGATGTCCCCGCTCGCGCTGGCCCGGCCAGAGCCCAGATCCTCCAACGCCTGTCACTTCTCATCGAGTTGAGGCTCCGGCCCCCCTCAGTGAGGGCCCCCTCCGCCCCAAGCCTCGGGCTACCCTGAAAACGCGGCTCCCCTGGAAGGGGAGGCGAGCGCAGTTCAATCTTGTCTGAGTGATCTACAAATAAGGACGGAAAGGGTCGTTTTATCACGGTCCCGTTTGTCGTGACGATGCAATTTCCCGGAGCGGAGCACTGTCACAAAGTGACAAGGCTGCCACAAGCGCCCCGACTGATCTTTTCAATTAGCCTTCCATGCATGATCCGGAGCGACTTCCGCCTATTTCCAGAAATTAGGCTCAAACTTGACGTGCAGCTAGTTTTATTTTAAAGACAAATGTCAGAGAGGCTCATCATATTTTCCCCCCTCTTCTATATTTGGAGCTTATTTATTGCTAAGAAGCTCAGGCTCCTGGAGTCAATTTATCAGAGGCTCCAAGGAGAGGAGAGGAGAGGAGAGGCGAGCAGGGAGCCACGTCTTCTCCTGGAAGGGCTGCTCTCTAGAGTCGGGGCTGCAGGTTGGAGATTTTTAAGGAAGTGGAAATTGGCAATTGGTTTTATTTGTGCCCGTGGTTTCTGGGGAGGGGGCTACAGAGGGGTACTACCTCCCTCTCCCTGTTTCCTTAGATTAGACAATGGGATGAGGTTGTGAGACAAGATGAAGGAGGGATGGGAGACACTGTGTTGTGCTGTTTTCCTTTTCTTTTCGCTTTTTGATTTTTGCTGCTATCTGTCCTTGGCTGTGGGGAGGGCTGAGTTTAGCAGCGGAAGTGAAGCCAGCGGTCGTGGGTGCGGACAGACTCCCCAGCTCGGCCGCACTGCGGCTGCCCGACTACTTGGTTGGAGCTCTGACCCTCACCCTGCAGTGGAGGCGCTGAAACCAGGTTGGGGGTTCACTAGCCGCAGATTTGCTGTTCTGGTTCTTCTCTACTCCTTTCCCTTCTCTTCTCCTATCTTGTTCTAAACCCCAATGTTCGTCCGGTGCCTTCGCCAGAGTGTGGAGTGTGACAGCAAACGTGGCTGGACTGTAGCGTCCAAGGGAGCGTGGAAGGGCTGTAGAACTTGCTATCACAGTTCCGACAATGCAGAGACCTTGGAGATTCAGTATGGTTTCTGGAGAACCCATGATTTGCGGTGACACTCAGAGGGGATCTTTGGGAGGATATTTTTTGAGTCGATTATTCGCACCTTGTGGGTTCAGAGGCTGGCTGGGGTGTCTATGCAGAGGGGCAGTGGACTGGGGCACTGCTGGGGTGATGGCGGTAGTGAGGTGTGTGAGTTCTCGCTCCTTGGCGTGTCTGTCTGTTTGGTGCTTCTGCAGCCCGGTGGGCAGGAGCACGGCTGTGCGGGGCTGGGCTGCCTGGTGCCCTGCCTGGCTGTGTGGTCCTGTGGTCATTTGTGATCGATAGCAGGGACCTGATTGCCAAGGTTGGCACCGCACCGGTTGGCAGGGAGCTGAGGATGCATTGTGGTTGTCTTCTCTCCTCCTCCTCCTCCTCTTCTCTCTACTCTCCTTCCTCTTCTCTCCACTCTGCTCTGCTCTGCTCTCCTCTCCCTTTCCTCAGGTCACAGCGGAGTGAATCAACTCGGTGGTGTCTTTGTCAACGGGCGACCACTGCCGGACTCCACCCGGCAGAAGATCGTAGAGCTAGCGCACAGCGGGGCCCGGCCGTGCGACATTTCCCGAATTCTGCAGGTGATCCTCCCGGCGCCGCCCCTGCCGCCCCCGCGGCCCTCCACTCTCAACGCCCTCTTCTCCTTTCTTACTGTAAACGCTGCCGATTGTGGACCCCACCCCAGTCCCCACCCCCGCCTTCCCGCTTTCCGGCTCCTCCACCATCCTTCCCTATCTCTTTCAGCCTGGGTCAGTCTCCTAAGATAACTCATCCGCTTAAGAAAAAAAATTGTGGGTGATTTTTTTAAGAAAGCAAACATCTTTCTCTTTTCATTTGGTAAAAACATTCGTTGTGGTAACAGTTTATGAACTATAATAAAATGAGTTATATAAACTGGCATAATTTCATTCCCCTCCCCCATCCCATGCTTACCTCAGGTTTTGAGATATTTGGTTTCTTCATATTCATGAAGAATATATATTGATTTAAAAAGACAAATATTATTTAACTCCCTCCCTAATGCACATTACTCAATTGGGCATATTTTTAAAGGAAAAATAAGTAAAACTTCAGTTTATTTTTCCCCTTTGCTCATTAAAACATAACACCATTTTAAGCAAGGTCAGCACAAAAAAAATTAATCTGACTTCGTTTTGATGCATCTTCAGGCAGTGTTTAAGAAAACAGTTTTTTTTTAAAAAAACTTTTAAATTAGTTTTTTTAGTTCAAGCTGTTTCAAAGTATCATCATATTTGTAGTTTTTAGGGCTACAAATGTAATTTTAAGAAAAAAGCTCTCTACAGTAAGTTCTCGTACCATTGAAGGTATATTTTTGTGTTATAGACCCATGCAGATGCAAAAGTCCAAGTGCTGGACAATCAAAACGTAAGCTTGTCATTGTTTAATGCATACTTAAACAATTTTATTTTTGTCTTGAAATTATTAATAATGTGGTTTTCTGTCCACTTCCCCTATGCAGGTGTCCAACGGATGTGTGAGTAAAATTCTGGGCAGGTATTACGAGACTGGCTCCATCAGACCCAGGGCAATCGGTGGTAGTAAACCGAGAGTAGCGACTCCAGAAGTTGTAAGCAAAATAGCCCAGTATAAGCGGGAGTGCCCGTCCATCTTTGCTTGGGAAATCCGAGACAGATTACTGTCCGAGGGGGTCTGTACCAACGATAACATACCGAGTGTAAGTGCCCCGCGCGCTCGCCCCCCCTGCCGTCTCCTCCTCCCCGTGGGGCCCCTCTCCTCCTGCTCCGCGCGTCTCCTCTGTGCCTGGGGTGTCCAGACCACCTTGACCTTTCTTTGACCTTCCGCAAAATGGGAGTCAAGTGTGGGGAGCGGTCCGGCTCATTTGCATGCTGCCACGCAGAGGGCGGAGGCCCGGGGGCAGGCGCGGGAAGCGAGCAGGGAGATGCAAAAGGAAGCAGCTTCCAGCCGCCTGCGGGCCGGCCGTCCACGCCCGCCCCGTGCGAACGCGCGCTCTCACCCCAGCGCCGTGTCCTGGGGGCCGGCTTAACAAGGGGCGCCCCGCGAGTCAGGCCCCGAGCCCAGCCCGCCCCCTCCCAGCCCGGGAGGCGGCCGCCGCCTGCACGCGCTGTCCCCGCGGACTCGCCCTCTGCCCCGGGACGGCTGGGGGCTCTGCGCGGGTCGCGGGGGCGCAGGGCCGAGGCGGGACTCGAGGCAGGGCACCGCGTGCCGGGAGCCGCCGCCATTTATGGCCTCCGGTCCGCTCCGCAGGTGTCCTCCATCAACCGAGTTCTCCGCAACCTGGCTAGCGAAAAGCAACAGATGGGCGCGGACGGCATGTACGACAAACTGAGGATGCTCAACGGGCAGGCCGGCAGCTGGGGCGCGCGCCCGGGCTGGTACCCGGGGACGGCGGTGCCGGGGCAGCCCGCGCCAGGTAAAGAGCGCGCGGCGCCGGGGCGGGGAGAGCGAGCGCGGGGGCAGCGGGCGCGGGCGAGGCCGGGCCGGCGGCGCCGCGGCGCGGACCCGCACAAAGGACGCGGCTGTCACTCGCGGAATCCGCTCCGGGAACAATCCCGGCGGCGTAATTGCTCATTAGAGAGCGTTTTGTTTCTCATTAAGGCGACATGAATGAGCGTCTCGCTGGCGGAGACAGCTGCAGGAGCGCTCCACCGGAGACCGGACACGGCGCGGCCCCGCCGCCAATTAGGCGCGTAGCGCGACGGCCGACGGGGACCGACCCGCCCCGCGGCCCGGCCGGCGGAGGGAGGCCCCGCGCCCTGGCGCGCCCCCGGCGGGACGCCCGTCCTCCGCCTTCCTCCCGGCGCGCCCCGCGCCCCCGGCCGCGCCTTCCCGCCAAGGACCGCGCGCACGCGCCGCCGCCCCAGCGCCCTCCGCGCCCGGCCCGCCCTCGCGCCGCCGTCGAGGCCGCGCCCGGCCGCGTGGGGAGGCGCGTGCGGGAATGTGGGGACGCGTGAGCGGATGTGTGGGTGAATGTAAGCGTGAGTGAGAACGCGCGTGAGGGAATGTGTGAGGGAATGTGAGAGAATGTGATTGTGAGTGAATGTGCGTGCGAACGTGCGCTTGAGAATGTGAGGGAATGTGTGAGGCCGTGGGGCTGAGAACGTGTGTGAATGTGCGTGTGGCACTGTGAGGACGAGAAAGTGCGTGAGCGTGTGCGTGCGAGGACACGTGTGCGTGCGTGCGCGCGCGGAGGCCGGCGTCGGGGGCACCTGGGCGTCCGAGGGGCCGGCAGCGCTGAGCCGGGGCGAATGTTCCAGAAGGGAGCGCGGCTCCTGGACGGCGCCGGCGTGTCTTCCGGAAGCGGCCGCGAGGCCTTCCTGGGCCGGCAGGGCCGCTTCCGGGGGAGCGCGGGCCCGGAGCCTGGGCGGCCGTCGAGGCTGGACCCGGAGAGCTGCCCCCCCCCAGCCGCCCCCTGCCCCTTCCCTCGTCCCCTGCCCCTTCCCTCGTCCCCTTGTCCCCCCGTCCCCCATTTCCTCTGCTCCGTCCTCCCTGTCCCCCTCCTGCCTGTTCCCCCGTCCCTCTATCCCCCTCCCCCATCCCCATGTCCCCCGTGTCCACCATCCCTTTTCCCCATCCCTCGTATACCCCCTCCCCGCCCCCTGTTTCCTATCTCCTCTGTATTCCCTCTCCTCTGTTCCCCAGTGTCCCTCATCCTCTGTGACCCCATGTCCCCATCCCCTGTGTCTCCCGTGTCCCCCCGTTCCCCTCTCCCTTGTCCCCTTCCCCTTTGTGTCCCCATCCCCTCTGTCCCTCGTGTCCCCCGTGCCCCTCTCCACCGTGTCTCCCCTCTCCTCTGTCCCCCCTGTCCCCATCCCTTCTGTTCCCCGTTCCCCCCCCGCGCCCCCGCCCGGCCGCCCGCGGACAGTGATTGATGACGGCCGGGCGGGGTGGGCGCTGCCCCGCGGCCCTCGGCCGGCCGGGCACAATGCGCGCCGCACGCCCCCGGAGCATCCCTTTGTCGCCCGCCGCATTGTGGCCGGGCCCTCCGCCCGCCCGAGTTTGCCGACGCGCCGGCCGCGGTTTAATGGTTTCCCTTACGGCCGCTTTGTGCGGCTGAAAGGCGCCGCGCCATTCAAGCGCGGGTGGCCCCTCGGGGCCGCGCCGGGGCCCATATGGCGGCAGGGCCGGCCGCCCGCGCCGCCCCGTCCAGCACCGTCCCGGCGCTTTGAAGGCGCGGCCATTGTCCGCGGTGACAGACGCGCCCGGGGCGGGGCCCGCGGGGCCCCTGCAGCCCGACCGGCCCGGCCAGGCGAGGCCCGGGCGGAAGGACCGACGGACGGACGGAGCCGGCGGCCCGCTCCCCCTGTCCTCGAGCAGCGAGGGAACAATGCAACTTCCCCTGGTTAGTGATGGAAATCACGTTAAAAGTGGTGGAAATGCCCTAATTAAAAATGTACCGCTTAAATGATATGCCAAGGCTTCAGCTGCAGCCTCGCGTATTTAGCTAGTTAGTGAACTCGCTACTATTTCTTTTTTAAAATTACACGTTAAAAATTTAAAAGAAATCTTACTTTTCTCTGGTGCAACACATTACAAAGAATGGACAGTCCTTTTATCTAAATATAAAATTCCATTTTCAGCAATTATAGCCTGTTCTTGGTGATGATATAATTACAGCTGTGCTCGTAATAGGTGTCAAGGCAAAGCACACTCATACAATAGTTGAATAAAACTGCAGAACAATGCAAGCACTTCTAAATTCACAACCTTTAAAATGAAATTGACTGTGCAGAATTCAAATAAAAACTAGATAAATATTTTTTTTAAAGATTACAAGCTTGGTTTGGTTTCTTAATAGCATTTTCTACAAACCTATCAACATCTAATTGATTAGATAGGAATTACTGATTATAGATCAACTGAGATCTTGAACATCAATCTTCTGTTTTCCCAACATGGCCATAGGTAAATAAATTCCACAGGGAGAGGGAACTGGGCGAGGCCCTGGGCAGTCAAGGAGAGTTATGAGAGATCCTGCTAATTGGAAATTCAGTGCTGTTTCGTCATTCAAAGAAATGCCACTCTGTGTCTGTATTGTACAGTCTCATCTTGATAAAATCAGAAAGAAAGAAAGTGGTAGTCAGGTACCGTGTCCCTAACGCCTTTTATTAGAAGAAGCCCACGCTCAGTTACCTTGGGGATGCTTTGGTGAGACGGTCAGAATATGCTGCCTTGCGGTTTTTGGCTACACAGACCCCTTCTGGAGGCTCCGAGTGATTCCGAATTTCTCTTACTGTCCTCTCCTTTCTGTTCCAGATGGCTGCCAGCAACAGGAAGGAGGGGGAGAAAACACCAACTCCATCAGTTCCAACGGAGAGGATTCCGATGAGGCCCAAATGCGACTCCAGCTAAAGCGGAAGCTGCAGAGAAATAGAACATCCTTCACCCAAGAGCAGATCGAGGCCCTGGAGAAAGGTGACGGAGGTTTTCAAGTAGAGACACAGGAAGTCAAAGTAATGCTGCATCTTCAGTACAGAGAGCGAAATTCAGCAGACCCCTTCGCAGAGACGGCTGAAAACCTTCCTTTTTTCCTTCTGTCTTTTTTTTTTTTTCCTGGGCATCTTTTTAGTGTGTGTGTTTTCTTTCTTCTTTTCATGTACCAGTAATTCAAAGACTAAAAGTCTGACTTCTCATAAAGAAAAGAGTAATGATCTGCCTAATTCAGGCCACAGAAGCGTCCTTGAATGGATGTAATTCCAAAGGAAATTTAACTTGGTTCTGGTGGGATAGTTCTTCCTAGTACAGTGAATGCTAAGGGCAGCGGCATTTTAAAGGGAATTGGTTGGAGGTGATGGACGTGGGGAGGCGGGAACCAGCTTGATCCAGGGCTTGGTTGCCACATTTCATGTAGTTCTGGCACAACACAGAAAACTCAACTTACTCTTTCAGAGTTTGAGAGAACCCATTATCCAGATGTGTTTGCCCGAGAAAGACTAGCGGCCAAAATAGATCTACCAGAAGCAAGAATACAGGTACCGGGACTGTGTGGCCTGCTGCTTTGTGACTCAGACCATCTGCCTTCTCCAGGGCAGTGATGCTTCTAAGGAATGCCATTTGTTTATAGAAAGAGTAACAGGTTCAGTCTGCTGAATACTTTTTGTGGGGAGGAGGGGCTGGTGGAAGAGCCAGGCAGGGGTGGGGTTGAGCTAGAAGTAGGCACAGGGCTAACCTGTTCCATCTGACTTCCAGGTGTGGTTTTCTAATCGAAGGGCCAAATGGAGAAGAGAAGAGAAACTGAGGAATCAGAGGAGACAGGCCAGCAACACACCTAGTCATATCCCCATCAGCAGTAGTTTCAGCACCAGTGTCTACCAGCCAATCCCACAACCCACCACGCCTGGTAATTTGAATATTCATACTACTAACCTATATGTCTAAACCTGTGTGCCCTCGCCTCTGACTCTCGCGTCCCTCTCCTCGCAGTTTCATCCTTCACCTCTGGCTCCATGTTGGGCCGAACAGACACAGCCCTCACAAACTCCTACAGCGCTCTGCCGCCCATGCCCAGCTTCACCATGGCGAATAACCTGCCTATGCAAGTAAGTGGGGCCAGTGCCGCTCGCCTAGCGGATGGAGGGGCCCTGAGACCTCGCTGCTGTGCATGCACCCCTGGGGGCCTTGCTCACGGCAGTGGTCGGCTTGACGAGTCACGTCTGGGATGAAAACAGTCAATCCAGTCTTTTAGTTGGTTGGTTGGTTGATTCATGCCCATAAAAAAATGAAAACCTGATGTTTGGTCAAGTCGGTGTGCCTTGTGCTCAAAGAGGATGTCAGCTCAATGATGTGGGTGGGACTGAGGCATGTTTCGGGTGCCAGTGAAACTTGTACCAGAAAATGGCAGAGATGTGGGCACGTGATTGGATAGTAAGGGCTTAGTATCTATGAAATTTGGGTTATATTCATGTTAGATCACATTAATGAATATGTGATCTGCGTATGCATTTTGGACAACATTTAGGGTGTATGTGATAAACTAGTGAGGAAGAAAAAAGGGTCAGAAATTGGATTCATGTTTGCATAGTGGGATATAATTAACGTAGAGGAAAAGCTAGTTTTCTTTCTACGTTTTATGATAAAAAAAGGAATAGAAGGCATCTGTGAGAAATGTGTGTGTCTTCGCCGTGACTTACGTGGTGAGTCTGGCGCTCCTCCTCCTACCTGGAAAGCTGGGTGCTGTTCACTTGGTATGACAACTGGCCCACCTCTCAGTCCCCCCAGATGTGCTGGGCCCCGTCCCAGGTTCACTCTTTACGATGGCGGTCGTATCAGGCAGGCAGGATGCGCCAGACCTTCGAGTGCATGGATTCTCGGTGGGAAGGAGATGGGTGCGCCTTCTGCAGGGACTGCCCCAGGACTCCTGTTTGTGCAGCACTTAGCGATGTCGACTGCGTGAGGTGGGCCAGCGCAACCCCGGCTGGGAGCAGTTCTGGGGCTACCCAGATTGCTTATTCTCCACTGAACATCTTTTGCTGGATTTCTGATCCAAATAATAGCAAAATACATGTTTCATAGTCTTCAGACTAATACAGGAGCAGCTAGATAAACAACTTCAGAGGGATTATTCACGTTTATTTTTACTGCATCTGGATATTACTGGCCATAGTGCAATTAATGTAAATTAAAGGATTAACAGTGCATTAGTTGGTGTTGCTACAGCTGCCTTGGAATTTTCCAGAAGTCAGGTTGCCTAGAGGAAGTAATGCTGGGAATTAGAAACGATGGAAGCTGAAATTCTGGTATGGCCCTCAAGGCCTGCTTGCCTCCTTGAACCAGGCATTAGCAGTCACACTCGGACGTTAGTAAGGCCACCACGAGTCCTGTTCATTTTGTCAATTGCAGCAACATCTAGGTTTCTGTGAGGATAACAAAATGTGTGAATGGGAGGATGATGACAAACCATTAACTAGATGCTGCTTTTCTGTTTGGGTTGTTTCCACATATAGACGGGTGTGGGTCAGCTTATTTCAAATACTGACTTTTAAAAATTACACAACTTATATGATTCAAAAAATACATACATTTATAAGCACAAAGAAAATAAAAATTATCAGTGATTTGACTGCAGAGAAAATCACTCTTTGAATTTTGGGGTGCGTAGGGGGCTGGGCTGGTCTGTCTGTCCATCAGTTCATCCTGTTGACCACAGTCTTCAACCATTTTACAGAGGGTGAGTGTCTTCCTCTGAGCCTTCCCTCCTGTGTCGCCCTCCCTGAGGATGTGGGTCTTGGAAGGTTAAGCATTTCTGCAGCTTGCAGAGCAGAGCAGTACTGTCATCTCCTTTGTTCCTGACTTTCTTCTTCTGTTCGTCCCAAACTTGCTGTCCTGGCTTAGCCCATGAGCACTCATGAGGGCTTTTGTCGCAGCTCTGTGTATTTCTTACTTAGTGGGGAGAAAGTTTGCCTCCTCAGTACCACCACTGCAAGCACTTAGAGGGGAGCAACACAATTTATGGATAAAACCCAGTCTGGGTTTTTGGGTCTGTAAGGAAGTCGCAGCTGATTCTCAGGAGGGGCTGGGCAGTTAGTCACACTTCTGACCACTTGAGCCTGAGGTCGTTGCTGACCTGCCTCTTCAGAGGATCTTTCACCCCATGAGTCCAGCCATGAGTGGCCCCCTGGTCCCTAAACCGAACTTTGCAGAGAGCTGCTCCCACTGTGCTCTGCCCCAGAGCTTGGATGCGGGGTGTGGGGGCCAAACAGACTGGATCTGCAGGAGCAGCGGTGTGTTTTAATGGAAGTCCTCGCACTATAGGCTCTCTAAGGATGCCAGCAGAGGTCTAAGACAAAAGTGGACAAAAATCCTGTTAACTTTATGAATAGTGCCAACCATCCAGCTGGACAGCTGTCTTTAGGGCACTTTAGAAGTTTGGTGCGAGGCGTCTTTACTCTGGCTTGGCCAGTGGATGAGCTGGTTGGAGGTGTCATCTTAGGGTCACCACATGGAATTCCAGCACTTTCCACAAAGGCGTCTTTAATGGTCAGACCTATGGGCAGAGCTCCTGGGGAGGGGGGAGCGGGGGTGTGGCTGTGATGTGCTTCTCAGTAACCACAGGCTGCCTTTCTCCTCTCAGCCCCCGGTCCCCAGCCAGACGTCCTCCTACTCCTGCATGCTGCCCACCAGCCCTTCGGTGAATGGGCGGAGTTACGATGCCTACACACCCCCGCACATGCAGACACACATGAACAGTCAGACCATGGGCACCTCGGGCACCACTTCCACAGGTGAGAGGCGGCCTTCGCAGCTCCTTTGGCCAGGTGATCTCCCTCCATTCACAGCTTACCTGAAAAGAAGCTCCTGGCCTTGGGGGATGGTGTGTTCAACTCTGTGTTGCTGGCTTCTCTGGGGAAAACTGGTCGAAAAGGGAAATTCAGTCAAGCTAGTTAGTAACTTGACACCATAGAGACGAAAAGCAAAGTTGTTTTTCCTGAATGTGGCCACAGAAGTTGTCTGTGAGGACAAGGCCTGACACTGTTTTCTGGGGAGGTACTGTTAGCAAAGCTGGACGGCGAGGCCCGAGCTGTGGGTGCTCTTGGAAGACTGCGCGCCCTCCTGGCTCCTCCGTGCCGCCCACTCAGCTGGAGAACCACCAGCCCGGTGTTCTAGATCATTTCATTGCTAAACGTACAAACAATGAGAGGGTTTCTTCTTTTCTTTTGGGTGGGGGACTTGGGAGTCAATAGGAATGTGTAAGAACATTATCTGGTTTCTAAAGGTGCTACTTTTGTTTGTAACACTTGAAGTATTTTTTTTTAAAAGCACAGTTAAAATGTTAGAAAGCATTACAGGTTTTTTCCTTAACCTGTAAATTCATACTCCATGCCTGTCTCTTGAAGGGAATATCTACATGGCTATTTCTTTCATCCACTTCTAGGACTCATTTCCCCTGGTGTGTCAGTTCCAGTTCAAGTTCCTGGAAGTGAACCTGATATGTCTCAATATTGGCCAAGATTACAGTAAAAAAAAAAAAGAGAGAGAGAGAGAAAGGATCTATCATGTTAATTCGGTCAGTGACTATGTGGACGCAAAGCTGGGCGTTCAGGAAGGAGAAAAAGTGGCTGGCTGGAAGCACTTCAGTTCTGTCCTGTGTTGTACCACCGGGGAGCGGACTTGGATCAAGGACCTTTGTATACAGAAGGCACGATATCAGTTGGAACAAATCTTCATTTTGGTATCCAAACTTTTATTCATTTTGGTGTATTATTTGTAAATGGGCATTTGTATGTTATAATGAAAAAAAGAACAACGTAGATTGGATGGATGTTTGATCTGTGTTGGTCATGAAGTTATTAAAAAAAAAGGAAACCATGACCAACAAGCTTTGCCACGAATTTAAGAGTTTTATCAAGATATATCGAATACTTCTACCCATCTGTTCATAGTTTATGGACTGATGTTCCAAGTTTGTATCATTCCTTTGCATATAATTAAACCTGGAACAACATGCACTAGATTTATGTAAGAAATATCTGTTGGTTTTCCAAAGGTTGTTAACAGATGAAGTTTATGTGCAAAAAAGGGTAACATATAAATTCAAGGAAGAAAAAAGTTGATAGCTAAAAGGTAGAGTGTGTCTTCGATATAATCCAATTGTTTTATGTCAAATGTAAGTATTTGTCTTCCCTAGAAATCCTCAGAATGATTTCTATAATAAAGTTAATTTCATTTATATTTGACGAGAATACTCTATAGATGTTTTATACACACTTTCATGCAATCAGCGTTTCTTTTTGGTCAGCAGAAGTTAATTGTTCTTAGATATAGTTGTATTACTGTTCACAGTCCAATCATTTTGTGCATCTAGAATTCATTCCTAATCAATTAAAAGTGCTTGCAAGAGTTTTAAACTTAAGTGTTTTGCAGTTGTTCACAACTACATATCAAAGTTAACCATTGTTGATTGTAAAACCATGCCAAAGCCTTTGTATTTCCTTTATTATACTGTTTTCTTTTTAACCTTACAGTGTGCTGTTACCAATTTTGTTTCCATGTTAGATTAACACATTCTAAACCAATGGTTATTTTCATACATGCTCTATTTTAAATCCTGATGAGCCTTAAAGAAACAATTCTTATGGTTTCATAAATCAAAAATGTGTTTGTTAGAAAAAAATCCCACTTAAAATGCTGTGTGTAGATCTATACCCATTTATATCCTCTACGTACATACAAGATGGTAACATTTCCCAGTTAGCCGTTTAAGTCAAAAGCTCAAAGTCTAGAAATAATTTAAAAATGCAACAAGCTATTAACGAGGAATTGTCTTTGGAACTAGGATTGGCATTTTCAATGGGGGAAGATTTCCATTGTCAGCCTGTTTCAACAATGATTTCCCTGAAGTATATTCAAAAGTACATTTCTTATAGAGACCCTCAGAGAGCTGTCGCCCTTCCCGAATGGGCCCCCGCCCTGCTCTCTCTCCCTCCCCTTTGCACAAGAGGCATCACTCCGACTGGAGCACTCCAGCTGTCCCCATTGGAATCTCGCCTTCTCCGCGCCGTGGACGGGTGGAGGGTGGAGGTTGCATGTCAAGGAATAATGAGCACAGACACGTCAACAGACAACAACGCAGACTGTGACCGGCCGGTGGGAGTTAAAGGCCGTCAGTCATTGGTGGCTTAAGCCAAACATTCCCAAATCTGTGGAGCCGGCCCATTGTTGGTCACTTGTTGTTTGCGGTGAAGCACGGATCTGATCATGTTTGAAGTGGAGGCACGCAGGGCAGGAGTGCTTGAGCCCAAGCAAAGGAGAGGAAAATATAAGCCTTTGTTGGGTGGAAAAGGCCTGTCTGAGACTTTTGTCTGTCTGTTCTGTGCAACATATAAGTCAGTGTGGCTAAGTTTTCCTGTGCAAACTTCAGTCAAAGCCTGGGGCTCTGGCAGCCTAGATTACACGTCTGCAAGGACAGAAATCTCTGGGGACGAGGCACACTGCCACTCGACTGGACTCTGCTCTTTTTTTTGTTTTATTTTTAATTCCCAAAGGTAAATGATCAGAAATGTAGAAATTAATTGGAGACTTTAAGAGAGAACCTTCTAGTTCAACACCCACTGTTTTCTAGGTAAGGAATTACTTGTGAACAGATCACTGAGATTCGTCTCTCTGGCATGCTGTGTATTAGTAATTTCACTCCTCCAGAGTTGCTGCACCTTTAGAGACACCATAGTAGGTTGACCGCAGTTTTTTACGTGTGCACGTTGTTTTACTCAGTGTCAGCCTGCACGGCATGCTCGCACACTTCTGCAGTGGATTGCACACACATGCACTGCTGGTACGGTAGCCCATGCAGGTATTTCCACCTCCTGAAATTTTTGCAGCCTCCATTCCCCGAGGGAACATGTGCCCAGAGAACTGTCAGAGAATGGCTCTGTGTGGCGTGTGCTGCAGCTGCTGCTGGCTGGCTTCTTCCCTGCAAGAAGGGACAGTTTGCAGCTGACTATAACTTGGGCCGGGGTCAGGCAGGCGGCCCCAGGCCACGGCTCTGTTGTGTAGAGCACAGACTTTGGAGAAGCTGGTGTGGCACTTTGGGTGCAGGAGCTGGGGAGGGGAGAGGGCAGCGTTGTGGGAGCGGAGGGTCTGCGTGCGTGCGCTTGGGCACGTACACGTGTCCTCTGAGGGTCAGGCTGGCAGGGCGCAGTGGCGTAGCCTGGGTTAGTCTGGAGAAGCGGGTGCTCGGCTGCAGAAGCCCCCTGGCCCAGCAGGACACAATGGCTACTGTGCCTTCTGCCCTCACCGTGGGGAGGTGAGCTGTCCTTGTGAGTGGAGCTCCAGGCGCTCTCCTGGGGACAGCCTGGCAGGCGTGGAATCCTGTGCCCAGGAGGTGGTCTCTGACTCATGGAAATAATTTATTTTTGCTTATTTATTTTCTGGTGAGTATATTTATGTATTTATCGATGGGAGCTCTGCACGGACGCTCTGATCCCACCTTCCAGGATGGTGACCGTCTGTGCATGATGTCCTTAGCATCAGACTGACAGCCTGTGATTTTCCTCCAAACGTGACTGACTTAGGGAGACCAGGTGAACAGAATTAGAGCTGAATGTCTGAATAAGAAACATTCAAATTACTCTGAGTAAAAACATGCTTTTTACTACAATGAATTGCTTTTTACTACAATGAATTTCTAGAATATTTTCCCCCCAAGGCTGTGCCTCCTGACTTTTAAATGGTAAGCAACTGGCTGCTCAGTGTGGCTCACATAATCATTTCTTCCTCCTTTTTCTTAAAAATCATAACCAAGTTTCCTAAGATTCCTTTGTGCAGTATCATTTCAAGATTCAGCTCTGTTTTGTGAATTTTTGTCATCTTAGATGGTATCTATATTCTGCTTATTTCTTTTTGCTCTGCGCCTTAATGTTAACGAGATTTAAAAGAAGGTTTTTCTTCTCTGTATAATGTTTGGCTTACCAAGGCAAAGCTCAAGTCTTTCCTTTTCTGTTCCTTAAGAATGCTCTTTTTTTGCATCGGTCCCGAATTACTTCACTGCCCAGTTTTAAAGTTCACAGTGTAAGTACCGAGGGTTAGTAGTGCTTAAATTCGATGGGGTTGATGTGACTGTCTTTGGAAAGCACTAGCATGGTGTTTAGGAAAGACGTTCACCTGGGGCCTGCAGAAAGAATAGGGTCCCCCACTTCCCTTCTGTGTGTTCACGTCTGGTTCTTCAAAATGAAAAGATGGATGAGGAATTCATTGCAGAGTGTTGCTTCCTTTTGAAGTCGTTTTATTTTGTCTAGTATTAGTATTTGCAGATGCTGGAGGTGGAGCTAAAGAATAAATGGAAGAGGGGAAGAAAAAATGGACAACTGTCTGGTGACTATTAGAGAGAAATTCAGAGGGTCTAAGAACCCCAGCACCTGCAGCGGCCAAGACATGTACCTCCTCTTAGAGAAAGGCACATCTAGCCTAAGACATGAATGCCAGCCAGGCTTTGCAAGTTTTAGGAACATTTAACAGATAGGAAGACATTTCAAATACTATGTTTGGCATTGTTACTTAAGTCTATCTTTGAGACAAGTTGATAATTGAAAAAAGATCTGTTAATAGAGTGTATATTTCATAACGTATCAAAATGGTCTATACACCTACAGTAGCATTATTGAGGACCAATATTTTCATGTAGTAAGTTATTAGCACATGGATGATCGATAATGTTTCCAGAAGGAGAAAAAACCATTTTTAGAGTGGGTTTTTATCGGAGGAAAACAAAAAATGTACATCCCTCTTCAGTAGCTCATTTTTACAAATCCTGCTGGTGAATGAGAACAGCAGAGTCCTTGGATCTGAGTTTTGGAAAGCCCAGGTACTACTATTGTTCGAGATGCACTTTTACTGAGTTTGAAAAGTTTCTTTAATATTTAAAATAGGGTTCGAATACGCACATTCAACTATTTTATAGTATTTATCTATTTGCAAAGCACAGATTAACTGGAAATTGGCTATTAATTTTATAGACATGGTAGCCAGGAAGGTAAATCAGTGACCTAGCAAGTATTTTGACAAGCAGTTCACGTATCTGATGACCTCACATTTCCTTTTCAGAGTCAAATGCTATGTAATTGTTCCGTTGTGTGTTTGTATAAAATGAATCACAACACAGTAAGAAAAAGGTTAGAGTTATTAAAATAATAACTCGACTAAAATACTCATTTGAGTTTATTCAGATTGCTCATAATGCTTTCAAAGGACACAGCAAAGCTTTTGTGGAGTATCTGCACATTATTTATTATCTATGGACTAAATTGGTTTTTTTGGAGTTGCTTTAAATTTTAAAAGCACCTTTGCTTAATATAAAAGCCCTTTAATTTTAACTGACAGATCAATTCTGAAACTTTGTTTTGAAAAGAAAATGGGAAAGAATTTGTCTTTCGAATTAAAAGAAGTGAAAAAAATAAACCAGACATTCTAAAAAAAATAGAAGAAGAAACCTGATTTTTAGTACTAATGAAATAGCAGGTGACAAAATAGTTGTCTTTTTGATTTTGATCACAAAAAATAAACTGGTAGTGACAGGATATGATGGAGAGATTTGACATCCTGGCGAATCGCTGTCATTGATTCAATTATTCGAATTCTGAATAAAAGCTGTATACAGTATGTGTTTATGCTACAGTGGGTTTTTTTTTAAGTGACTGACATTCATCACGTTGGTTAGACAGTTTTAAAAACCTAGTCTTTGTTTTCTACAATGTTGTCAAGAACAAATAAAGTATAATTTGTGGTATATTAAAAGCAAAGTACTTAAAAATGCTAGTTATAACTGCTTCAAAATATTCTAACATACTTGAAAATGTATTTTGGAAATTCAACTTCTAACAAATGTTAAACAGCCTTTTAAAAATTGAGACTCTACTTAAATATGCAACTTTTTGACTTTTGCTTTTTGTCAAAAGCTTTGAGAATATGGAACTATGATTCAAAAACCTTATGTTTTATCTGAAAACTGGTTCAGTATGCTATATACCCCAAAGACTCGTTTGTATGGTTAGAAACATAGCAGCAATGCTCATAGACACAAAGGGCTCACCTGGTGCCATGGCAATCTGAGGGAGCTTCAGATTTCTGCTTTGCCTCAGCCCTACGTTCTGGAAGATCTCTCACCAAGCTTCAGTGCATTTTCCTCAGTATCCTGGCCTCAGTGCAGCTGTCAGTTTGCATTTCAATCCTGAATTACATCTGTGGACACTTTCACAGTGCTGCCTTCAGTTGTTCAGGGTTACTAAACAGAAGACCATCAACTTCTTTTGCTTTGCTTTCCATCTTTCAAGTTCTTTATTAACTACTAGTTATCGGACTAATTATCTTTAATGGAGTCTTAATCCCAAAATATTATTTTGTCTTCATCAATTTAATAACAGGTTGCATAAATGCAAATTCATTTTATTATACAGGCTTCATACATTAGCAAATTTTTCACTTTTTAAAAAACTTTAGCATTTTTGGTGGCAAGTGACTTTTTCAGAAATAAAGAGAAAATAAGTTTTTCAGAAAATACAGTTTTGAATTTCAGAATGTTTTCTGAACATTCTGAAACATGCACTTTACCATGAACGAGGTGCCTTAATACATGTACACTAATGGCCACTGTAAGGCATTTGAATTTTTGACATTTTATTTGCTTTTATTTAAAAATAAAATCACCTATTTTCTGTAGATATAGCATAAAACAAAATTTTAAATGAAAGTGCTTCTGCTGTACTGATTCTGTATAAAAAGTTGGTTAAAAAAATGAACAACGGTGGCCTCATTTTGCAATCCTAACTGTTTTTTCAAGGACTGAAGGGTCAAATCATTAAGAAAAATATTTACATAGCTATTAGCAATCGTAATTAGAGTGTCATACAATTCTGCACGCGGCAACTAAGGGGGGGCCACTAGAAGTCCAGGTGCTTCTTGCCTCCGGCCGTCACGCCACAGCCGGGGCCCAGCAGCTTGGTGGGTTCTGCCAGATCCTGTTTGCCTGAGCGGCTCACGGTGTCTGACAAGTCTGGAGGCAAATGCAGTCGCTATGGCAGAAGATTTCAGGAGAAGGAAAGAAAGAAGAAAAAAATAATTAATTTTGCTCTTGCGAGCACACTTCAGAATACAATATTATGCTCTGTTGATCAGCATTTAGTCTTGCATATAAAATTCCTGCTAAAACAGTTTTCAGGCTGAAGCCTGATGGAACCTCATCCTGTTCCTACTGGATTTCACAAAGATGGCCGTTCCATCGACTGGGCCAGGAGGCTCAGTGCAACATGTCCAGAGTCCAAACCTAAACGTGTTAAGGTTTTTCTGATTTAGGTAGAAATGAAAACATGTAAATGCACAAATAAAAGCAAAATTAAAAAAAAAATCACATGATAATGGCAGAGTTGTTTTTCAGCTTTGTTTTGTTTTGGCCAGGATTCCAAATGCTATTTTTCAATTGAATATAGCTTTTCAGCAATTATGGATTCCCACAAATGCTTATTTCCCTTTATCCGTTAAGTTGACCTGAAGATTCTATTTCAAGGCAATACTTGTTCTAGCAACCTACACTTTTCATAGAAATATTGACACAATGAAAAAAATGGTACCAGTCAAAGGGTCAATACTTTTCACATGCTCAGATAAGTCAGCTGTAACCTCTGTTACAGGTCTTGGTAAGTTTGTTACTATGCACAATGTTGGGTCATGTTTTCAAAAGTATAATGTAGCTTGGAACATCTCCCCATCCTAACTGTCTTTCTGCAGATACAGGCTGATTTAAGCAGACTCAGAGTGACTGACCATAATTACAGAACAGTTACTGTAATTAACGAGAAATATGGATGTTTCAAAAGAACCCTTTTGGTTTTCAAAAGGATCTCTACTAAATTCCTTTAACTGTCAGTGCTCTCAGCCCACATGATCTGTTTCACAAAAATCCAAACCCAAAGGACCCCGTCTGTTGTGTGAGGCGCAGAGTGTGTGGAGGCGAAAGGTGAGACAGACAGGAGGGGCCGTGCACTGACAACTGGCCACAGCCTGCAGAGGTGAAGCGACCTGGAGGCAGCCTCCGGGAAACCCTCCATTTGGAAAACTCCCTCCAATATGAAGAAAAATGAAGATGAAAAAGGGTAGAGCCATTTCTTTTTTTCTGGTCAAAATATTGTGATCCACAAACATATGTTTTGGCTAGTTTCTTTCCAGATAAAAGGCTTGTTTATTGTCATGTAAACACAAGCTTTGTGGAGAAGATCAAAATATTTTAAAACATTAAAAATAATTTATGAAAATATTCTTTCTTGATTTCAGTTTGCCTGTACTTACTCTTTAATGCAAATGCATCTAGGATGAAAGACACTATTATACAGATATATGACCAACAAAGATGTCAGAAGGGTCAAGAGGAGCCGTAAGTCCACATAGTAATGTTCATACGGTATCGTTCACTTGCATCCGTAGCACCCAGCCTGTCACATAGTAAGTAATTAAATGTCTATTTCTTGAATGATATAAAAAACAAATAAACACAACTTTGTTTCTTTGATTTAAATAATTCCTTCATTTCTTCATACCCTGCTTTGTTCCAGAAAGGATTTCAGGCAAAAAAAAAAGTGAGAGGCTCAGGAATCCTAAAGACACGCAGGGCTCTGGAGCATGAGGGTGTGAGTTTCTCTGCAGTGTTGGCTTACCAGTGCTGGGTGAGGAGGCAGGCAGGAAAGAGACATTTAATCACGTCTGAGTTTCAGCGTTTCTCTAAGATCCTGTCGTTATTTCTAATAAGCAAAAGAAAGATGACCAGGCTACATGCAGTTATCTGAAACTTAACATTCACCATAAAAGGCATGTGTGTGCAGACCTCTGGTCGGGACCTCACAAAGATGAATCAGATGGTGACCAGGCTGTTTAGGAAATCAACTGGAGTCAACAAATATTTGGAGTCTACTGGAAGCAAGGCGTTCTGAAAGGCGGTGGGAAGAGAGCGGCCTCCCCACCGGGCGAGTCCTTCGCTCCAGTGAGAGGAAGAAGGCAGGCACAGGGTCCCTCATGGGAGCCCTCCAGGGTCCCTCTGCAGCACAGGTGGGGACAAAGCAGAAATGGGAGGGGAGGGAGCAGGACGGAGCCTCCCGAGTCAGGCTGGGGGTTAAACAACGAGCCTGATGCTGACATGCGCGCTCAACAGTAGAACTGACTCATCTTTACGAGGCATTTGGTTGAAGGGTCATCCTGCTCTGATAATCTACGTGAGGAAGGTATAGTTTATTCAGAACCAGCAGGATACAATTATTTCAGGAGCTTATCTATTTGCTAAAAATTTCTCTTCCTCTGCTTCTCTAGGCAATGAGAGTGAGCCAGTTGGCTGAAAGCCCTCACAGCAAAAGCAGCTAAATGTGGTGTGTGACATGCTTGGAAATCTTTCAGGTTGAACGGCTTTGAAGAAAACTCAAATATCATTTGTGTGTAACTTCTGAGCACAAAAATTTTGGGTGACGTGATTAAATGCTTCTAACCAAATGCTACATTGTGTAGCATATTTGCATCCTCGTGTCTTCTGAGAAAGCCCAGGGATGGCTCCTGCAAAGCTATGAAGCCACGTGTGACTGTGCCTGCATCGGTGCGTCGTTACTTGAATGAGCTCACGGCGCAGTCCACATTCTCAAGCAGTGGGTTTTGTCTTCCTCCTCCCCAGCCTCCCCCCGTGCACCGCGTCAGTGTGCCGTGAAGCAGCGAGGAACAAGGAGACTAGGTTCCAGGCCTGCCGGGTGTGTCCGGGACTTTCCCCGAGAAGCTTCCAGACTTACACGCTGAAATGTAAGTGTTCAGAGGCTACTGGACCCAGATCTGTCTTTCGAGAAATGTGCTGGAGACACCTGGCTTTGCACGGTGACCTGCTTTAGACCAAGGCCGCAAGGCTGTGAGGGTGTATAAACTCTTAGACTGTGAGGTTTCACCGAGTAATGGTTTAAATAAAAATCAGACTATAAAAAATCATACTATTTTCAACCTTACAAACCAAATCAAGGCATTCATCTTACTCATTTTTATGCCTGGGGTTCTGAGGCAAGGCCCAAAGCACATCTTACATCTTGAGCTGAAATGTTTCCACCTGATCTTCTTTCCCAGGTTCTGCGCAGAAGGGTTTGTGCTGGTGATGTAGGCGACGTGTATCTGGCTGGCTGCCTGCTCATTTTTTCCATTAATGCCTTGTCTCAAATGCTGATGTCCATGTAGGCACAGGGACCAGGGAAAGGCGTGACAAGCCCCACGTTCCCCCGAGGCAGCAATTGATCCCACTGGATTAATGGGTCCCTTCTCTCTAGTGCTACAACGTGGGAACAGCGAGGCTGGCAAACACTCCGGCAGATCAGGGAGCTGCTGCCAAATGGCCCCCTAGGCTCAGCGAGCCCTGGTCACATGGAGCGGCTGTGGCAGAGGAGCCTGGCTCTGACGCAGGATGCCACGGAGCCAGACTTTGAGACTCTCCCTCTCTGCTACCTCTGTCCTCTGCTTGGCTGAGCCACTGTCTATGTTTTGTTCTCCTTGAGGTGCAACTAAACTGACCCAAGATACACAGGACTGGATTTCTCAGCTCTGTTGCCTCCTCCTATGTCCTTTGCTCTCAGCCTGCCCGGCTGGTGCTCAGCACTGTTCCCAGACAGAAGGAGCAAGATAAGGAATCTAGATTATACTGAGTTTGAGACAGATTACAGGTAAATACCCATTAAAATAAGTTCAATCAATTTATATTTTTCATATTTTGCCAGGACCAAACCACCAGGTACTGTTTGTTTTCTGAAAACAACTGATGTCATACATTTTACCCTTGAGCAGATGAAGAGATTTATTTTAATCCTTTTTAAATTTCTGACATTTCACACCTTGTATTTATAATCACAGAAAGACGTATTAATATTTCAAAATGCTTCCTAATAGATTTTTTCTCTTTTCTTTAAAACATAGCCAACTTAAATTAAAACTTATAAAGAGCTTAGAACACACCTTGGTCCCTTAACAGAGGCAGCCAGGGACAGTCTGACTCCCCATCACTGATTCTCAGGTTTGTGCTCTCAGCTGGAGGGAAGAAGGGGCCCAGGAGGCCAGACCTGGAAGTTGGACACACCCTTCCACTCAGGTCCACAACTCAGATGTGCTGCCCCTGGTTGGGAGGGAGGCGGGGAAATGTTTGAAGATGTGTGAGGATATGTAACAAATCTATCACTGTGGGAGAAGGAGCCAATGGATATTGGGAGCCAACCAGCCATCAGCTACTGTTCTGAGAAAGGCTGGGGCTAAAGAAGGGCATCCAGAAGCTCTCACTAGTGTGTGAGCTGCAGCCCCTGCCTGGGCTCCACTCTTAAGTTTCTGATCAGGAAACACAGCGGACACCCTGCCAGCCGGGAGAGCACAGGTGAAAGGAGTGTTCAGAGTCTCTCTCGCTCTCTGTGTAAAGAGAGGACACAGCCCTCTCCCTCATGCACAGACCGACTTCCTTCCAGGGGCACCAGGGGAGGACCGAGGGCAGGAGGCGGACGGAGCGGGCCTTCCCCAAAACGCCACCCATTGCAACATTTCTTCACAAGATTTCAGAGTGTTGTTTCACCTTGTAAAAAAAGCTATTAAATAATTATTGTATTTTTACATTGTTAACATTTATATTATTCCATAATCATTACATTATTACAATATAATGTTACATTGTAATTTTCCTACATCTGGTTAAAATTTTGGAATGTGGAAGATGCATTTGCCTAATTTTGGTGAATTTTGTGTTACTCTCACATATAAATAGTCCAGTGGGAACAATGCCAGAAACAAATTTTTGCTGTTTTTGGATCGGTAAGTGTACATTTTGTAGTGGCTGAATATTTCTGGAAAAAATTCTGCCAAACATGGTCAGCTTTTGGGTTTTAGCTTTTGTTTGTTTAAGATCCAATCCATTCTCAAGGTTTAAGATTAAAATTGTTTTATCGAATGTCATAATCATACTATATCCTTTGAACTGAAAAAAATTCATTTGGTTCTTCCTGATTGATCTGAAAATTAGACAAAATTTCAG